TGATCTTCTTCATGCTCATCACCTTGTGAGAGTAAGATTGAATATCAAAGGCTTTCTTCATATTTTCAATGATTTTTTTGTCTGTCCTACACTCTTCATATTCTCTTTCCTAAGTGTAGGACATAGTGGCTAAGAACACATTCCTAACACTTTGATTTTTGGAGCTCCATGTCTCATAGGCATCACATCTGGCTTGAGTGGCATTAGATTTTGGCACATTTGGAGGGTCTTAAGTGATCATAGGGATGAGACCCTCCTCATAGAGTACATAGCCCACTTTCCTCCTCCATTTGAGGTAATTCGACCCATTGAACTTCTCTTCTTTAAGCAATTCAGTAACTATCGACATGGACTCACAAAATGACTCAAAGGGACCTCTCTTAGAATTTTGGCTCGGATACCACTTGTGAGTGTATAAAAACCAATTCTCTTGACTTGGACTACAATGTAGACAATACATTAAATTTTCCAATAAACTTGAAATTACAACTTGCAAAATCAAATTACAGCAATGTCATTATAACAATAGTGAGCTATTGACTTCAAAATACACTCAAATGAGATGATACAACTCAATTAGAGTCCCTTACACATGAACAATACAAGCTACGAAAGGAAATTATCAACCTATACATGTATATTGTGCATTTGGAAATTTTGTACCACTCAAACTTACAAGGAAACATTATACATCAATGAACTCATAAAACTCATCACAACATGATCTCCATTACTTCAACATATATATGCTCAAGTGTGCAATGCATCATGACCATGGGAAGCTAATCAGAGCTCTCGGGTGCCCGGTTTTTGGCATTTGGTTTAGCTATGTGCCATTGGGTGACATGCGAGGGCATACCTCAAAATTGGGCCAACACATCATCAATCGAGTGGGAAGTCAAGCATCTACAGATACACACTTAAAACATGGAATGATTTGTAGATATTTAAAGATCAAATCAAGTGGGAAAATCATGGGAGAAAACTGGGCTCTTAAATCACAAAAGCAATTCAATTGAGTTCACAATTCGGTTCACAAAATTTCTGCATAGTCTCCTCTTATGAAACCAACAATTCAAGGGATTAAAAAGAAGATCTAAGTGATCGATATGATCATGAAAATCTCAGAGAAATATCAGCCAAAATTACCCCAAAATTCAAGGAAGAAAGCTCATGAAAACTATGTCAAAATATGTATAGAAGATGCTTTCAACTATATAGATAAAGGGAGATCAAAGATGATTCAAGGGATCAAAGATCTAATTATCAAAGGATGAAGGGATGTTTATGTAATTGAGAATTTATAGAAAGGAGAAACCAAATGGATTAAAGAAAAAGAAAGAGATTGTACTCAATTGTTGAAGGATTGAAGACTAGATCATCCATGGCTTAAATTTGAGCTTTGTATCACCATTGATGGAGTAATAAGAAGCTTCAATGGAGATTTCTCTCATCCTAACTTTGAAGACCACACTTAGAGAGAGAAAGGAGGAGGAGACTTTAGCTTGGGCGTACCACACAATGGGAGACAAAGAGACTATGGCGTACCACTTTTGGAGAGAGAAAGGATGAAGTGAACTCATGTGTGAAATGAAGGCTCAAGGGGGTGTTTATAATTTTCTAACCCTTAAGTGTAGAGATGCTTTTAGATTAATGAATTTTGGCCCTCCATATTATCTACTAAAAGCTACAAGAGAGGCTTGATCCTAGCCCACCATCCACCATCATGCCATAAAGATGTGTGGTATGGATTTAAACGCCTATATCCTCCTTTAATTCACCACACATGTGCACAAACCCCTTGCTTTCAGCATGTGCTAAAAAGATTTTTTTTTAAATCTCAATATTTCACAAAATTACATAAAACTATCCCATAGCATAAAACAAAACTGCATTATGACATGGGGGGTCCCTTGAGGGGGGTTGATGTCACCCCCACGTCATCCTCTATGTGGGGTGATGTGGGGCCCCCTAAGCCACCACGTGGACACCCATTGGCCATTTAGGTGTCCCATGTGGGTCTCGGGGTACTGTCCTTCTTTGTCATTTACCCCAAACAATTCTAAAAATGATTTTCTTGCCCAAAAATCCAAAAATATTCTCAAAAATCCGTGAAAAATATTCTAATGATTTTCCCTCAAAATAAATCATTTTAGCATTGTTTAAAAAAATTTACAAGGGAAATTAGGATCCTTGGAGTAGAATTATGAATTGGAGGGCTCCACTCGGCTAGACTCGGAATCCAAAGCCACCATCTCAGTTTGACCCAGCAGACTCATGATCCATAGTGTATAATCAAGGGCTCATGATCTCAGCCTATCAAAGTCAAACCAATGTGTAATCCTGAATCTCCAAGTATAAGTGAATTTCAAGTGCACACCTTAGAGGACATGCACACATGGTGTGGGGGTTGCTCTCTTGGCACATGTGCATACATCTAGTGGATCCCTGGAAGAGCGGCTTCTCATACATTGCGACAATATACGCACATGCTACGAGAAGGTTCTAAGAGTTAGGGATTTAAGCCAATGTCCTTTATTGGCCCTCACCTTCCCATACAACGCTATTTTGTCATCGAGCTCATATAAACACAAAAATCATACCACCATGGTCCATCACTTAGTTATGAGTGACTGACATTACAATCGATCCTGACTTAAGAGGTAACCCTCTCAATACCTCCCATGCATATAAATCCTTCTCATAAGTTAATCGGAGTTCCATGACTCTTGGTCCCATTGTGCCAAGATCCTAGAGTCATGTCGCTCTTTTACTCCCACTGAAATCTAGATCCATTGAAAATATTAGAATTTAAGGCCTTGAAAGGACATAATTCCAATACATTCCACCCAAAAGTATTCCACCTCTCTCCCCCCCTCTCTCTTCCTTGGGGTGAATCTTACCTCTCTCTCTCTCCTCTACAAACTAGATTTCTCTCTCTCTCTCTCTCTCACTCCATTGAAGGTGATGTAGTAGCAGTAACTAATGAGTACTTGGAGAAAAGAGAGAGAAACAATACAAGAGGAAGAAAGCGGCCTCAAATAAGTTGCAAATGTGATATATCTTAGTAAAGGGAGCCAGTAGAAGGGGTTATTTATAATAAGTAAAATTGGTTTGGTCGTTTTATAAGTCACTTTAGTTGTAGGTACATTGTAGTACTTCTACCTTTTATCTAAGGGCTGGTATTGCACCATGCAGGTTTTGGGAGGGAAAAAAATCTTATATAAGGCATATCTGGCCAACTTTTGCTTGACTTTGAATGAGATACAGCTGGAAGGAGGGACAATCCACGACTCCCGCTCTCCCTTTTCCTTTGGGGGGGTGTGATCTCTAGGGTGGATTCCAGCCCTCTTTCACATGTTTCTACTTGATCTTCCCTCTATAACTTCCTTGTTCTTTATCATTCATGCATATCTGAACTGATTGTGCTTCATAAAGAAATAGAAAATCATTCTGGGATGCATCAATTGGTATTAGAGCAGATCGATGTTGCCCTAAGACTGCTACTTCAACTTATGGCTCTTAACAAGGTATTGCACATGAAATCACCTGGTTGATGCTCGAGATGAAGAGATCAAACTTCTAAAGAGGTGGGTAGAATCTCTAATACCTTGTAAGGTTAGAAATGTTGGGGTTATGTAGCCATATAAAGGCCTTACGAGAGGATGTACTGAAATTATTTATATAGTGATATCATAGCTCCAGTGGGAGTATGCTCCAGAGTGGATTGTGAGGTGTATTATTAGTATCGTGACTCACCTGAGCTTTGATGGGCTATGGCTCAGGTTAATGTCTAAAACCCATAGCCCTGGGCATTTATACACAACCGATAAGGGTTTCAATGTGGGGTTATCCCTTGATGAGGTGGGAGATGTGCCCAAGGTGGTTGGTGAGGGGACTAAGTGTTACCCCTGCATTCGATGGTTGGCCGTAGAGGACAAGTGCTAAATCTTCATCATTACCATCATACAACACGTACACTAGATAGCCGTCCGGGAAACAATCCTCTGAGTGAGGGTGTGTGTCGTGTACATGTGCCGAAGAGATGTCTCTCTGCAACACTGAACTGTGTTGGAAGGACCTATGAGGTATCGTGTTTGGACTTGTCCTTAGGGAGGAACCTGTGATCTATGGGCTAAAAACGTGTCTACTTTATTTATTGACTGACTTTGATTATTCAAGCATGAGCCCCTGCGAAGGGCTCTGAGTCATGGAAACTATTGGGTGCGTTTGAGAAGATGACAGATGCATCCTTTCTAAAAAGGATGGGGTCCTCAGTATATTTGTGATATTCCTAACTCTTTTCATCCAATTACCATCAACTTAAATATGTTTAATTATATTTTAGAGAATTAAAATGAATTGTTGGACCTCTTTGGATATTTTATTTTATTGAAATGGGATTTTTAAATAAACAAAAATCAATTTCTTGGATATTCAAAAGCCGGATACCTTTGATTCTAATGCTGACTTTGGATTGGAGGATATAAGCCCAACAAATGAAAATTGGAGTCTCTGACAATTTGATGATGCAAGATCTCCATCTCAAGCTTGGACCTGCGGTCAACCGCTTTTGTACATTATGAGAGATTGGCTTCTTAACATGAAACTCTTGTGCTTCTTTGACTTTGTCACATCATTTTTGGAGGGGCTGGGGGGAGGGGGAGGGGGGGTAGTATGGATGATTTTTTAAAAGAAAACTGTTAGGATGGGAATTTGGATGGAAGAAAAGATAGGAGGGGGTTTCACTTCCAAGTTTAAGCTATTGAGGGATCCACGGGCTTTCTGTGGACCCAAGGGTTTATTGGGGATTACAAATGCATAAATGGGGGCTTATCTCTTTATTTCTTAAATAGAATATGCAGTGTTGTTCTTCTTACATGAAATGTGATATTGGTTTTCATCTATTTTTGCCATATTTGTTTTAACCTCTGTGTATAACAATATATGGATTCTGTTGTGGCCTCATGCTAATGATTCTCCTTTTCTCCTTTTGTCAGACATGGTGCAGAATTGGTGATATGGAACAATTCCAAGTTTTGTTTAAGGGAATCCGGAGTTGGTTAAAGACGCCTTCTCGTCTAAAGGAATTGTTTTCAGAAAATGAAAGGTCATCCCATGGTGACCTGTAAGGAGCTGAATTACAATCAGATAGTGACCTCCCAATATGGTTTGCTGCACAAAAAGCTGTCTCTCGATATGAAGACTTTTTGTCATCAGTTGGACCTCGTGAAATACTTTTTAGGAAGTTGCTCGTTTGGAGCGGATTCCTTCCTGCATTGCCAACTGTGTCTGTTGTGCTTGATTGTGAAAGTACAATTTCAGAGCCTCATCTAAGGTTTGAGTAACTAGATCATGTTTACTACCGTACTCAGAAACATAGTTTGCCTCTTGTTCACTCTTCTCATCCCCATCCCAAGGCTTCCTGGTCTCTATGTCATGGATGAGTGATTCCTATATTAGGAGCAAGATAATTGGTGAAATATAATATAATGGTCAAGGTTTTGCATGTTCCATGTTAACTATAGTTTTAGTTTTCTAGTTTTGAATATTATTGGAAAGATTTTACTTTTGCAGTATTATTAGTAGAAAATCTAAGGTATCTTAACTCAGAGTTAGGATTTTTTAATTTACGTACTTGACCTTCTTGTGGCAATATTATGTATATTTGAGATTGAAATTTCTTACAAACTGGACAAGTCTCTTTCTTATAACAATTCTTGTCATTAGGCCAAATTTCTTGCCAAGGGTTTCACTTAGTGATATCTGGAAACCTGCAACGAGCGAGTCTTGTGGAAATGATATTGTAAGGACTCTTAAGGCTGCAATATCTGTTCTTTTCTCACAATCTATTCTTCAGGTATACCATTGAATATGTTCTAAGAAATATTTTGTTTTCATTTTATTGCTATATTATCCCAAATATGGCCTTTTGTGTAGAATTAAAGAAGGAAACCTTCCAGTTTCAGATTTTTAATCCTAGTTGTTAAACAAGTTTATCATCATGCTTTATATATCCACTAGAGTTGTTTAAGAATTAGGATTTAGCAATTTTTGGTATGTGGTATCCTACTTGCCTGTTATAATTTGAATTTTATGGATTACAATAGAGTAACTGGAAGATGCAATAGCAAAAGGTATGGATCCATATGCAGAATCTGTGGAGAAACCATCTCTCCTTTTAACATGAAAACCAAAAACATGCCCCATTACATCATTAAAGAAAAGTGTTCTGCAAGGACAACATGCTTCTGGGAGAGCATGTCCTGCTGCATTGCCAGGCTCTTTTTGATACTTAGCAAAATACAATATTAAATGTGTATGTGTGAGTGTGAGTGTGCACATGTATGCTTGGACCTGAGTCTGTAATTTATAAAGAAACATTAGGGGCTCTTTGGTGAGTGGTCAGGGTTGCCTTTTTCCTCTAATTACTAAGAATTTTAGATTTAAATATAAAAGTAAATCCTTTTCTACCCAGCTTATGAAATAATGAACTTCATTCACTCCTTATGTTCCTCCTAATCTTCTCCAATGTTCAAAAAGGTGGATTTTGCCGCCTAGACAGGCATCTAGATACCTGGGCAGCCCTAGAGTGTGGGGTTTGAGAGAGAGAGAGAGAGAGAGAGAGGTAAGGTAAGAGACGACAT